AATATACTGTAAGTGCTACCGCCTTCCAGTGGTGCATTATAGAATTCACTTGTTAGAGATCTAAGATTGCGTCCTTTAGAATAAGTTGTATTTTTGCCATCACCAAGAACGAATATATCACTTTCAAGATCACTGGCGGAAAATACGGAAGCAACATACGGTCTTGGTTCTGTTGATTTTTCTACCTCAGAATAGGTAACCAACTCGTTGTTTCTGTAGCTGCCGGGTGACTTGGGTTGCTTTCCTTTTATTATTTTCAAAGCGACCACATATATATGGCTAAATTAAATAAATCAGAAACAACATCTCTTTGACATTTTGAACTAAAAAGCAGTACTTTTCTCCTCCCAAGAAACGTTTACAGTTTTAGTTTAGTTTTCGTACGCATTGGAGGATAGAAACAATTTCGGACATAGCATTTTTCACCAACTTATCAAAATTTGTACAATTTTTCAGTAATTTTTTCCTACAATTATTACTTTTCAAATAATTATGTAAAATCCTTTGCTGAATTACATTTTTTTGCCGACGAGCGTGTTAAAATTGCTAACATTGCCCGACAAACTGTAATATTACACCATTAGCGGCGGGGGAGGGGGGGGGGGTGTCGCATCCACCACAGACACTAGAAATAACTACAGTCTACATGTGCAAGTAGTAGTGTTATGCAATAAAATGAACTGTCGATAAATTTATTGTATAAAAGTTTCTTTAATTAATTAACTGAACCATACAAAGATTTTTTTCGATTCACATTTTTCTCAATAACTTTTTGCCTTGGCATGTACAATTTTGCACTGACTACATTTAAGAGTCATGATTTACTCTACAACTATAATTAAGCGAGCGTTTTCAAATGCTTAACTCTTTGACAGTTTGCTTATCTTTTGTGTCTTAAGTTCGGTATTCGACAATTTTTCAAGAAATGTTCAGACGCCTCCGGGTTTAAAACGAAAATTTTTAATTTAAATTCTGTTTTTTTTTTAGATTTTGAATGTTACAGAAAACTTTTTATTAATATCTAAACTGCCTGTTCAGTGTATTTTTTGCTTGTTTCATTCTCCTTAAATAACTAAATACCCATGTTTTTGCATAATTTAAATAAATTATCCGCCATTTTTTCTAGTACACGCGCATGCGCAGACGTTTTTCCGCGGCGTTGTTTGAACTAGGCCTTCAAATTCCTGCAGATTCATGACATTCATGTGAAAAGATAATCAACAGCATACCAAAAGGCGAAAGCCGTGGGTGTTTCGACGGCACTCCCGTTTCCTGTCATAGCAACAAACCCTTCCATCATAACTGTCATCAGTGATCAGATACGACGTATACGGTGGCAACCAGAGGCGCCCTTAGTAAGTCTTCGACTAGATCAGTTCTAGCTGCTTTCTTCGTAATTCAGCAAAGCTCGCAGTTGCAAGAAATTTGCTTTCCGCATTTCTTAACCGGAATATTTCTCGGACCTATTGAGTTGTCAAAATTGTAATGCGGGAATGGAAGTTGTGCTATAGCAATAAATATTTAAGAAATAGACAGTGAGTCGCGTGCGTTTAAGGTGTGATAATGCACGCGAAGAATGTAAATGTTGGGAGAATACGAGAGAAGTGTGTAAAACTCGAGGTGTAGCCGAGTGTTTTACACGCTTCTCGAGTACTCTCCTAACATTCCCCGAGTGCATTTTCGCACTATAAACGCACGGGACGAGTATTTCTATTTCTTTTATAATATAAGTAGAATATATTACATAGTAAACAATTTTACTCCAAAGATCGACGTTGAAAATCTCCTAACATGTGCCCAGTGACGTCACGCGTATGCTTTTACTGTCGCTTGAATTTTTAAGAGAGCGAAGGAGCGAAATTTCAAAAACAATACAAACTTTTGATGCTTTAAAACTGGAAAAATTGTTTGAGATGCTGAAAATAAAAACAGTGATACACAGACTAATTTGCCAAAGTTTTTCAGCATCTGGACTGGTGGATTTGCCATGAAAGACGTTAAATCGTAGGTTTCGTCGTGTTGCTCAGTTTTAATTTTCAAAATTATTGTATTTTTTGTCTTTCGCCGAAAATATATCTAGCAGTTGTTATCAGAAGAACTGAAGGTACTTTCTAAATCACTTTTGTTGCCTTTTTCTATGTTTTGGTATTCCTGTATCTTTCTTAAATTTTTTCTCGGCTCTTTTGCACGCTTTTGTCCAAAACCTGTCGAGACAACAACAAATTCGACGAATGCCAAGCCGGTTAATTTACACGTAGAACTATAGAAAAATTGCTTTGTTCATCTGATCTATTCCTTCTTGCTTTCTGATACATTTTGTATTTTAAAAGCTCTATAGTTTTGTTTAAATTTTTGGCTAAGAAGCAGTGATGAAGGGGGGGGGGGGGCAGAGAAAGAGCAAAACAGTGCCACAGATCACAGTGCGTTATTGTGGCACAATGCACGCGCATTAGCCAATCAAATTGTCTGTTATATCACACTTATATTATAAATAGCTATAAAGTGTCAGGATTGAATTGAGTAACCAGAAAAACCGGGCTATTTTTGTCGCGAGTTCTGAGTTTGTCTAGTTGTTTTCTTAGGTATACATTTTTAAAGGCAAAAGTGAGATGCTTTTTTACTTTTCACATTGTTTATGCGGCAGTATTTTGTTTAGTACTTTTCCAACTAACTTTCAGACGAAGGTCCGTGGCTGAAAACGTTAAAGTTGTCTTCAGATTTTTGAGGTAATTATAGATCCTTCAATCACGTCCGTGAATATTTTTTATCGCCAATTATTGACTGGAACCGAATACTGTAGGTATTATGAGCATTGCACAATATGTAAACTGGAATGATAACTCTATGATGAAAACCTATGATTCGTTTAAGCCGACACGCGGAAAACCAGCTTTCAAAAGGATTAACGGAGAGTTTCGAGGAGTGAAAAAATTCGGATGAAAGTTTGTTTTGGGGGAAAATATGCAAGAAAAACACTTTTTCAATGGAAATACTACAATGATTGAGATTCAAATCAGGTTTCCGATTAGTAACGACTGTTTTACATCGCTCTGCAGCAAACATTGACGATTGTATTATAAAAACACATTAAAACATAGCTCTCAAATTGCAAAATAACATACCAACAGTACGTACTTCGGAAATTCATTATTATACAATTAAAAGTACTAATCTTTCAACTATTTCAATTTGCCGTTTTATACAAAAAAAAGTTAAAAAATTAAGATGCAAAGGCAACACTTAATTAACGTCACAACGCGAGCCTGCGTTCAGTGTTGGCTAATTCTTAATACCAATGTCTGGCAAATATAGGCGAAGGGTTGCTGCATGCATGTATTTCTAGTTAACACATCAAATTGAAAATATCTAAGGAAATATGTATATGTGCTTTAAAACCGTCTAGTCACTAACATTTTTATTAATTTACATTTTTGACTTTTATTTTGATAAGCTTTCGTCCTGACCAAATTCCTTAGGAGAATGGGTTTATGCGGGCGATCTGATGCAATTAATGTTTTTATTTAAAGGGGCAGTATGATCAAAATTTTTATTCTCCTAAACCAAAGCTTAAACGAAAATGCTCGTACAACTGTATAATAACTTGTTGTGAAGTTAGTTCTTGAAATATTTCTTTAGTTTGTAACCATATGACGTAATCTACTCAATTACATATGTAATGAGATATCAGTAATTGTTGTGTATCTTTGCTATTTTTAATCGATTTGTTAAAAAAAAAACACAGTATGCTTAACGATGTACGTTAAATTAACAAACGCGCCGCATCTTTCGAAATATTTAGGTAAAAATAGCAAAGATACACAACAATTACTGATATCTTATTATATATGTAATTGAGTAGATGACGTCACATGGTTACAAACAAAATGAAATATCTTAAGAACTGAGCTTGGGAAGCAAAATCTTCAAAACAAGTTAGTTTTACGAGACTTTCGTTTAAGAAAATAAAAATTTTGATCATACTGCCCCTTTAAACGAAACTAAATTTTGGGTTTCATATGACGTCACAGTGGCGAATTAAATATTTGACGGGGGCTCAATGTGGGGTGTCAAGCTACCCAGATTGCAGGCTAATCAAGAGTTGAAAGGACAAGCGCATTATATTTTTTGTTTTGTTTTGATTGAAATGCTGCAACATATTTGTTTTGCACTAACCGCTCTAATAGCGAAACGGAGAAGATTTTCTTTCGATTGCCGAAGGAAAATAAACGTAAAGGAGAAATCGTGACATTGGCTTTGAGTCCTACTGAGCCTGAGGCTATACTTTAAGTTTAATTGGTGAAGTGATCATCAGCCATCATGAGCTGCCAACTATTGACTTTAATAATGAAATTAGTTGCCATACAGACATTACCATAAAGGATATTATAGGAATTGAAGAAAAAGACAAAAACGTGAGATCAGAACTGTACGAATTGCGATCAAAAGGCCTGAATTCAAAATTAAACGAACAGTCTTAAAGATAATGAAAAAAAACAATACACTGTACAAGCCTACCAAACTTTCTGCTGTTGATGCAGGTTTCTCTTCTTCGTAAAAATTACATTTCCACCACATCACTTAGAGTGCTTGCAAAATTTGAACAGTTTATTCTTGTTTTGATGAGACTACGTCTGAATTACATATATCTCTTAAAGATCTGGCATACAGATTTGGCATCTCAAAGCCTATACGGTCTCTAGGAGATGGTATAAGTGGATAAATGTTTCAAAAACCTTTGGTACAAAAGTTGTAGTTATCATTGATTGCTTTCAGTTGTTTATGGAATAACCTTCTAATCTTTTAGCAAGAGCTCAAATATGGTCACAATATAAACACCACAATACTGTCAACTTTTAATTGGAATTGCACCCGGGGAGGAATTCGAAGAACAAGTGACAAAACAATAGTACAGAAGAGAGTTGTATTTTAAAAAAACTTTTAGCAAGGGATATTGAGGACAGTGTCGGTTTGTATGCTGCGTCTCTTAAGATTCCATCATTCACCAGGGGAAAGTTTATCTGTACAGGAGGTCGAAGAAACTCGAAAGATTTCAAGTGTGCACACGCACGTCGAAAGAGTGATTGGATTAGTTAGAAGGAGATACCAGACAGTGCCGTAGCCAGAACGATAATTGGGAGGGCACATATTCATATATTCGTGTTCTGCTTTATTAATTTCTTTTGAAATCAATTGTTTTTATGGTATGTTATTATTATTATTATTATTATTATTATTATTATTATTATTTTTATTTTTTTGCTGTCGAAACAAAGAGTGGACAAACCCTGAATTGTTAAACATTTAAATTAATAACTACATATAACAATATATATAATCATATACCCATTTTATTCTTGTTTTTACTGTAAATAGTACATATGTAGTACTCTGTGATTCATGTAGCCAATTGTAAATTACCTAAGTCAGTGGTGAGATTTACAATTGTATATATATGTAAAAAATTCAATAAAGTTTTCATTATTATTATTATTATTATTAAACTTTATTTAAACACGGTACTATTTCACAAACTACTTACATTAAGTTAATTATGTATAAAAGAGAAGGAAAAGAAAAATGTGATCTTCCAATAGGCTGTGTGTTTAACTATCATATAACACTATCTACAATATACATATACATATACATATAGACTATTCGACATACATATTACTTACTCATGTAACAAATACTAACAATATTAAAATGTACTCTCAATTGGTGGTCTTGAGTTTTGCTTTAAAAATATTAACAGTTTCAGAATTTTTAATTTCACTTGGTAGATTATTCCAGGCCACTGCACCTCTATAACTAAATGCCTTTTTCAGGTAATTTGTTTTAGGCTTCGGTGGTAGGAAATCATGTTTGGCTTGTCTCGTTTGGTGTTCATGGACCTCGTTCGTTTTTTGAAACATATTACTTATAAGGAAGAAGGGGCCATTTCGTGTCTAACTTTGTACATTAATGTATTTACTTGTTGATTTCTTCTTTCCTCAAGGTTGGGAAGACCAAGTTGTTGTAGTAAATTTACAGATCGAACTTCGTACCCACTCTTTGTAATGATACGGACAGCTCTATTTTGTAATCGCTGAAGTTTATTACAAAGTGTGGTACCAAGGCCTCCCCAAACTTGGGAACAATAATCGAAATGAGGTTGTACTAAAGTTTGATAAACGGTAGTTAATATTTTTATGTCAAAGAAATCCCTTAATCTCCGCATGACATTTAAGCCCTTGTTTACTTTTTTCGTAATTAGTGTAACCTGTTCAACCCAAGATAAAGTCTCATCGATCATTAATCCAAGTGATTTTGTAACTTTGACTCTTTTTATATGATTGGCGCCCAAAGTGATTGGTGGATCACTTTGAGTCTGGTGAAGCCTTTTATGAGAGCCGATAACCATGTATTCTGTTTTACTAGCATTTAGGCTTAATTTGTTTGCCTTCTTCCAATCAGAAACGTTTGTCAAATCTTCATTCGAAATGTTAGGAATCGAATCAATATTATTGCTAGATGTATCAATTTGTGTATCATCAGCGAACATATTGCATCTTCTATGTTTTAATTAAGCAATTGGGAAGGTCGTTAACGTATATAAGAAACAATAGTGGTCCAAGTATGGACCCTTGAGGTATACCGCAGATAATTTCCAGTGGGTGGGTTTGATAAGTAAGATCTGAACCAATGAAGAGCAATTCCTTTTATCCAATAAAGATGTAATTTATGTAGTAGTATTTTATGATCTACAGTATCGAATGCTTTCTTAAGATCAAGAAATACCACCCCATTTAATTGGCCGATATCAATATTATCAAACCATTTGTTCGTAATTTCCAACATTGCAGTAACTGTGGAATGATTAGGTCTAAAACAATGTTGAGAATTTGTAAGCATGTCATTTTTTATAAAATATTCATAGAGTTGGTTATAGACCAACTTTTCCATTGTTTTTGCAACAATAAAAATGATAGATATCGGTCTGTAGTTGTTCGTGTCCTTCCTTTGGTCCAGTCTTATAAACAGGGGTAATTTTTGAGATTTTCCATTCGCATGGAAAGGTTCCAGACACAATTGATTTGTTAAATATTACGGTCATTGCATGTGTTATTAAAGGAGCTGATAACTTCACTAGTTTAATAGATAGACTATCCATACCAGTTGCTTTATTGGTTGACATGTTTAGTAAGAGTGTAAGTAGCTCTTCTTCAGTTATTTCTCGAAGAGTGAATATTTTGTCCACACTATTAATGTAATACTCAGGTGGATAATTAGTTTGAGGAATTAATTGAGCCAGGTTACTGCCAATATTGATAAAATGTTCGTTAAATGCATTAGCCATGTCTTCGGATTTAATATCTTGCTCGTTGGTGTTTTAATAAGCACTATTTTATTAGATTTAGGATTTCTGTTCAGGCATTGATTTATGCTTTTCCACGTTTTCTTCAAATGCCATTGTTATTTTGAATATCATTAGAAAAATGACTTTTTATTGTATTCTTGATGAGTTTGTTATAATTGTTCCTGGTATATTTGTAATTTTCCCAATCGTTCAAATTACCAGTTTTGCAGGCCTTCGCTCTGCTTTAAATAATTCTTATGCCTTTTTTCATGTAAAAGTTGTTCAGTAATCCAAGGATTAGATTTATTTCGTATTTTACGTCTTTTTATTGGAGCATGCTTGTCACAAATTTTCGTAAAATTTTCTTTCCAAACAAGCCACATTTCATTTGCACTTGCGTATTGGCGAAGGTTCAATGTGCCAATTGTTCTTATATCGTCTAAGAATGTACGTTCGTTCAAATTTTTAAAATCTCGAAATTCTATTATTCTTACATGTATTTGCTTTCAAAGATGGAAATTTCCGTACTCCGTAAATTAAATAATGGTCACGGATGGCTATTTTGGAAACTCATGTAAGTATAATGTTTTCTGGCTTATTTGTGAAAAGATGATCAATAAGGGATTTGGTATTTCTTGTAATTCTAGTTGGCTCTTGGATTAACTGTTTGTATTGATACATATTTGTAACAAAATTAAGTTCATTTGTATTACAGTCGTTTGTGAATTCGAGAATTAGGTCACAATTTAAACCACCCAAAATAATACTCTCCTTGTCTTCTAAATCAATATATTGTAAGAGCTTCTCAAACTCTTGAAATTTCTCAATTGGTGTGTTTGGCGGTCTGTACCAGGTAGTAACAAGAAAAGGTTTGGTTTTATATTTAGATATTTCAATAGTTAATACTTCAATATCAGTATTGTTTAGATCCAATCTTACACGATAGTTTAACGTATCTCTTATGTAAAAACCGATCCCACACCATGCCTATTTCTATCTCTACCAATCCAATTGTATATCCGTAAATAGAAATTAGTTCTTTTGGGAAATCACGTTCAAGCCTAGTTTCGTTAATTGCCAGTATATCGACCTCGCGGTCATTTAAGCAAATTCTAAGTTCGTCAATGTGCTTATGCAGGCTAGTAATATTTAAACAAGCTATTTTAAAGCCTCGGTTTTGGGGAATCAATTTTACGTGAGATTGCAAATTGTTATTCTCTTCAATAATGGGTACCTGTGCCTGAACATTGTTGCAGCGGCCTGGAGTAATCATTGAAGCGGTTTTAGAAATAAATGATGTTTGCAAAGAGCCGTTACCTTCGTTATTTTCAAGGATATATGAATATTACACGGATATATGAATATGCCCCCCCCCCCCCAATTATCGTTCTGGCTACGCCACTGCTTTCGTTTTGCCACAAGTTTAAATTTTTTGCTTTATATATATTCTTAGTAATACAAGTGAGATTTAAGTTTTTGCTTTGTGCAATAGAATACCGTTATTTTTTAAAGGACAGCTTGTATCGTCTCTATCATGTCCATGCAGGATTGCTGGTAAATGATGTATCACTATGACACTATCAAATAAATATACAAATATATTTGAGAGCCTTGTTTTTTAGAGCATAATGACTAATGAACTAGAAATAAACAGATGATTCGTAATGGAAACTTTAAAAATGTTGGTAGAAGTAGAAAAATCGAAAATTTATGTCTATTCATATTATATGCAGTCTGTGCGCGTCTGACACTTTAAATTTAGCAAAATATTAAGATTAATAGAGACCTTGAAAAAGGCTAAAGCATGGCTATAATTACCGAATAAGAATTATGTACGAAATCCAAAATTTTAAAGATAAATCACTGACAGCAATTTATCTGCTTGGCTAGTATCAAATTAAATGTTTACATTTGCTAATATTGGGCTCTAGTCTCAGACAATACAATACTGTTTCCGTTTTAAAAATCTTATAAACAAAACACGTAGTAACAAGTAAATCGTTGCAAAGCATATCAACGTTTACAAGAAAGGACAAATCTAATGGCGTCTTTTAAAAACATTACATATGTAGAAATGATGACCACTGAAGTCTGAAAAGCCCATAAACGTTTGTTATAAAACCGCGCTCGAGTGTGAATTAAGAGAGCATTGAATATATACAAGTCGTGACTCGAGAGGTTCTTGTAAATTCAAAGCAAAAAAAAAATAAACAAAAATTAGCGAGTATTTTGAACTTAATTAATAATTCACAAAATTTATGTTTTTATAATATCCAATAGGAAGCATGTAATGTGATACTTTCTCCACACCCCCTCGCCGCTCAATTTTGACGAGGTACGTGACCAGCCCATACCAGGGTCTTTATTAAAGACGCTGGAAACGAGGTTGCCGCGAACATTGTCTTCTGACGTATAAAAATAGTCGGTTATAATTCATTTACATAACAGGCGTTGATCTCGGCGTTGGAATTACTTACCACCATTATGATTCTTTTACACCCCCCTCCCCGTCAAATTTAATTTACCAAGACATCACATGATTGAAATTCAAGAATACGGAATTAATTTGTTATAGTTAATCACATAAATAAATGCAACTTAAATCTACAAACGATACTTACTTGAAACGCCCTGATGGAATTTTTAATGAGAACCTAAGTGTACTCGATGTCGCAGTTGTGGACTTTTCTACAGCTTCTGTTAACATAAACAAAAAGCATTGCATTTAGCAAGTAGTTGAACTAGTTTTCCAAACACGTCATTTTCCATACAGAAACTACAACCAACTAATTATCCCAATCCCGGGAAAGAAGTATCTAGAACCCATTCAAGAGCATCTAGAATATTCTACACTTTCCTATGATTGTGATTTTTCATGCATTTTATATTGTTTTTGGATTATCATCATTAACTCATTATGGAAACGAAAACATTAAATGCAGATACCGTATTTACTCGTTTGAGCGCCGCGGCGCTCTTTAAATTTTCCGAGCTTCAGATGCGGCGCTAATTCGGGGGCGGCGCTCACTCGGGGGCGGCGCTCTTTAAAAATATTTTTTATTTGTGAATTATAACAAGAACTTTTAACAAAAAATAAACAAGTTTTAAAAGGTTTTTGTCACTAAATGTCCCTATTTTGATGATCTTGTAAATTGCAAACTATCACAGGTATGCCATAATAATAAATGGGGTGTATTAAATCATACCAATATTACAGCAGACCACTTGAATCCTTATGGTCTCCACTTAAATAAGCAAGGAACAGCCAAGTTGGCCAAGAATATTATAGATCATTTCAAAAACTTAAATTGACAAACGAACAATCAAAATAATATTACTCCCTCAGATGATAGTAATATACAGAGGTTTAATTCCATTGAAAACGATAATGCCAATAATGCTAATAGCCCTCTGGGTAATGATGTAAATAGACAACAATCACACGCTAGCGGCTCTCTTTTTCCTAAACTTAAAGGGTTTAAAGTATGTCATCTAAATATAGCAAGTTTGATAAAACACTATGATGAGCTTTTGCTATATATGCAAAACAAACTTTTTGACATTATAACGCTTAACGAAACTAGATTAGATAGTAGCGTACTAAACGGTGAAATTGAAATTCCTGGTTATGATATTGTTAGGCGTGATCGAAACAGAAGCGGAGGAGGTGTTGCAATATATATTAGAAGCAACATACCATACACCATTCGCAAAGACCTCTTCCCTGATAATTTAGAGTTGATTTGCGTAGAAATTAAAAAATTTAAAAGTAAACCTCAGTTAATTACAACATGGTACAGACCACCAAATTCCAGCGTTGAGCTGTTTAGCGAATTTGAAAATTTTTTAAAACTACTTGAGGACGAAAATAAAGAAATTATCATAACCGGAGATCTCAATTGTAACATTCTTGAGCAGAACAAAAGTTTGCCTACTTCTAAACTAGTTGACCTGATTGACATTTATCAATTACAGCAACACATACACTGTACAGTGTCCCACGAGAATTACTAGTACAACAGCATCACTACTGGATATTATCCTCACTTATTATGGTGATGATAAAATATTAGATACAGGAGTAATACACCTTGGTATCAGTGACCATAGTCTTGTTTATCTGTGTCGAAAGCTCAGCATTCCTAAGGCGCCACCAAAAACTGTCTTTACTAGCCATTATAAAAATTATAATGTTAACCAGTTTAAAACTCTTTCCCGACAGGTCCCCATTAAACAAATCACTCATGATTTATCATTTTTGCGGTTCATATCTTCAGTTCGGTAAATGCTACGTGGACCAAAATACCACCATTCGATTCAGTGTAACGATAGCTACTCATTCCTATCGATAGATTTAGTGAATGGCAACATTATAGCGATTTATGAGCTTTGAAAGTCAAACGAGCTCGCATATGAATAAATATGATCAAATTACGCAATATTACTGACAAATTATAAACATAAACATACCTTTCGCCGAATATAACTTCGTCCCATTGAGACGTATGCTCATTCTGATCGTCTTGATCGATTCAGAAGTCAAAAATAACACGTATAGTGTTATTTTCAAGCTTCTGTCTTTAAAGTTCGACATTTAGTGCCGAATTTTGTATTTCTGCTCCGAATATGCGTTAATCCCAACCGGAAATACGACGAAAACCCGTCAAAACAATGCTACGCTTGTATCGCGTGACTCTGGAAATGCCAGAAATGGATTCTACAGGTCAAAGTGCACCCATACGCGTGAGTTTTACGTCATCCCTAGCCTGCATGGCAGGCGGTATTTCTACGGGCAGCGAAAATTAGGGAAGCAAAGGAAATACCGTCTGCCGTAGCCTGCATGGCAGGCGGTATTTCTACGGGCAGCGAAAATTAGGGAAGCAAAGGAAATACCGTCTGCCGCAAAACTAGGGGTTTTTGAATTACCCGTCCGCTGGTGAACGGGAAAAACGGATTGGTTAGTATTTTTATGTAGTTGTCAATCAGCGGCTAAATTCGGTTAAATGTTAATCATTAACCAAATGTTTTGACGTTTTGAAACTCTGCGTTTTGAAATTAGTTCACGTCAAGTCAGACCAGAAATGGAATAACATAATAAAAGAAGCAAATTAAAAGATACAAGCTGAAAAATAACACTCTAAATAGTGTTTTTGATAGAGATTCGAACAAGAATATTTAACAAAGAAGATACGTCCGAAGGGGCCGAAGTTATGATCGGCGAAAGGTATGGGCTAGTCTATATTTTCGTTCAGACAATTACATGCGTATTAATTTGATAATATACTATCTCGCTTGACTTTCAAAGGCCATAAATCGCAATAATGTTGACATTTTACTAAAACTATCGATAGAAATTAGGAGATATTTCTTCACTGAATCGAACAGTGGGATTTCCATATAGGCCTATCAGTCATGTTCTGAACCAAAGATACTTGATAGATATTAATATATACGAACCTCCAAAGTATAAACAAGGGGCCGGTTGATGCAGTAATTATCAAATAACAGTTAAACTCTTATATACCCGTTGAATATGTATAGTTGTAAACAAATAAAAACTATCGTTCTATAAGGTTCAATACTTTCAGTTTGGTTGTTGACTGATGATGAATCTATAGTATAGACTTGCATGCTTTGTATTTTGAGCTTATTAAACCACCGTTTTAAGGCAGCTAAACGGCTAAACGGGCTTGGTTTATATTAACACATAAATAAATTCCTTGATTCTCATCACTAGACACAGTCTACACTTTGAAATGTCGAAGACAGTGGGAGATTTATTTTTTATATTTTATATTTATATAATTTATATATCAATAGTTCGTATCTCCACAAACAATGACAGAATGACTGAGTTTCTTTAAAATACAATGAAATTTCACTCAAAATTCTGTTTGTTTCAAATTGGAAGTTTAAAATGGCAATAAAACTCTATATAAAATATGAAAAAATTAACTGTCTTGAATTATTTTGTCGGGCGGTACATTTATATTGTATAACGAAAAATAAAACGTTTTCACGAGGATTTTAAAATTCAGTCGGGCGGTGATGAGAATCAAGGAATTTATTTTATGTTGGGCAGTTGGGACTTGGGAGCAGCTTGGGAGTGGCTAATTTTGAATATTTAATGCATCTATATATAGCGTTGATGCTTCAGGGGCGGTAGTTCATTTACACCCAGTTTTGCGGCAGGCGGTATTTCCTAAGTACCGCCTGCCATGCAGGCTACGTCTGCCGCAAAACTAGGGGTTTTTGAATTACCCGTCCGCTGGTGAACGGGAAAAACGGATTGGTTAGTATTTTTATGTAGTTGTCAATCAACGGCTAAATTCGCTTAAATGTTAATCATTAACCAAATGTTTTGACGTTTTGAAACTCTGCCACAGAATAAGGACCTCTGCGTTTTGAAATTAGTTCACGTCAAGTCAGACCAGAAATGGAATAACATAATAAAAGAAGCAAATTAAAAGATACAAGCTGAAAAATAACACTCTAAGTAGTGTTTTTGATAGAGATTCGAACAAGAATATTTAACAAAGAAGATACGTCCGAAGGGGCCGAAGTTATGATCGGCGAAAGGTATGGGCTAGTCTATATTTTCGTTCAGACAATTACATGCGTATTAATTTGATAATATACTATCTCGCTTGACTTTCAAAGGCCATAAATCGCAATAATGTTGACATTTTACTAAAACGATAGAAATTAGGAGATATTTCTTCACTGAATCGTCATGTTCTGAACCAAAGATACTTGATAGATATTAATATATACGAACCTCCAAAGTATAAACAAGGGGCCGGTTGATGCAGTAATTATCAAATAACAGTTAAACTCTTATATACCCGTTGAATATGTATAGTTGTAAACAAATAAAAACTATCGTTCTATAAGGTTCAATACTTTCAGTTTGGTTGTTGACTGATGATGAATCTATAGTATAGACTTGCATGCTTTGTATTTTGAGCTTATTAAACCACCGTTTTAAGGCAGATTCCTTGATTCTCATCACTAGACACAGTCTACACTTTGAAATGTCGAAGACAGTGGGAGATTTATTTTTTATATTTTATATTTATATAATTTATATATCAATAGTTCGTATCTCCACGAACAATGACAGAATGACTGAGTTTCTTTAAAATACAAAGAAATTTCATTCAAAATTCTGTTTGTTTCAAATTGGAAGTTTAAAATGGCAATAAAAACTCTACATAAAATATAAAAAAATTAACTGTCTCGAATTATTTTGTCGGGCGGTACATTTATATTGTATAACGAAATATAAAACGTTTTCACGAGGGTTTTAAAATTCAGTCGGGCGGTAATGAGAATCAAGGAATTTATTTTATGTTGGGCAGTTGGGACTTGGGAGTGGCTAATTTTGAATATTTACTTAATTAATGCATCTATAAATAGCGTTGATGCTTCAGGGGCGGTAGTTCATTTACACCCAGTTTTGCGGCAGGCGGTATTTCCTACGTACCGCCTGCCATGCAGGCTACGTCATCCCGGCTAAAGGGAGCTCCTTATTGGCCAAGTATTACGTAATACAAGCGCGTGCTAGTAAAACCCGATACTTTAAAAATTCAAAATAAATATTTCTATTCGGCGTATACATACGAAACTTTCTACACGAAAGCGCTTGAATACAAAGAGTATTTTACACATATATCCTTTCAGGAAATGACACCAAAGTTTAGAATATATTCAACTTTTTCTAATTTTCTCGTTTGAATGTTTGGCGAAGCGGTGAGTATAAATATATGATTGTTTCGGTTTGTGTAATGTTTTGACGGCACTTGACCCCCCGTTCAAAAGGTTATATTGTGAGGATTTCAATGGTGGCATTTATTTAATAGGGGGGTAAATACTCGCCGAGATATTTATATTAGAAAAATTGTATCGAAATGTAATACGAAACCGGTTGTCGAGAACCCTTGGATTAAGCTATTTTAACTGACCCAAATGCCTTATGGAACGATTTTAAAAATAAGTTTTTGAGCGTCGCAGATAAACATGCACCAATCAGACAACGTCGTGTCAAGAGTGAATATAAACCGTGGCTGACAAATGAAATTAAGCAAATGAGCTATCGTAGGGATTACCTTAAAAAGCAATCGATTAAATTAAGATCTGCGTATTATGATAAGGCTTACAAGAGATGTAAAACAAGTTAAATAATCTCATAAAAGAAACTAAACAAGAATACTTTAGAGATAAACTAAGCAATGCTAAAAATAGCAAAGAAAGTTGGCGAACTATTAACGAATTATTAAACAAAAAGCCTAAAACTTCAGAGGTTAAAGAACTAGATATAAATGGCCAACTTATTACTGACGATGATAAAATTGCAGATGCTTTCAATCAATATTTTTCCACAATTGGCAGTACGTTGTCTGACAAGATCACAGGTAACTGCACTGATCCAATGAACTTTATGACTCCTTTTGATGGTAGTATATTCAACTTTACAAGCATTACACTCCAAGAAACAATAGATGCACTCAATGAAATTAAAACTAAGAAATCTCCAGGGCTTGATGGTATTAGTATAAGGTTACTAAAAGATGCATCTAACATTGTGGCAGGACCACTAGTGAACATATTCAATGTATCCCTTCAAAGAGCAATTTTCCCTAATGATTGGAAATTAGCAAAGGTGACCCCCATATTTAAAGAAGGAAATAAGGCAGACTGTGAAAATTATAGGCCAATATCTGTTATTTCAGCTGTAGCTAAACTTTTCGAAAACCTGGTATACCTGCAGCTAAGTTCATTCTTGAGGTTGAATGGCATTCTTGTGGAACAGCAGTCTGGCTTCCGTCATCAACATTCTACTGAAACTGCACTGCTTAGTTCTACAAATGAATGGTTGTTCAATATGGACAGAGGTTTACTTAGCGGAGTTTTATTTCTAGACCTCAAAAAAGCTTTTGATACTGTCGACCATCATATTCTTTTATCAAAGCTTGAATTATATGGTATTAAAGGAACTAGCCTGAAATGGTTCGAATCATACGTTTCTGGTCGAAGCCAAATATGCTCTGTGAATAGCAAGATGTCAGCTGTTAGACAAATAAAATGCGGGATACCTCAGGGCTCTAACCTTGGGCCTATTTTATTCCTATTGTACATAAATGATCTTCCTAACTGTTTAGAGACAACTAAAGCAAATCTTTTTGCTGATGACACAAGCCTTTTTTGTGAAGGGTTTAGTCCATATGAAATTGAGATCAAACTTAATAAAGACATTGAAAATGTTCATAGGTGGTTGACAGCTAACAAGCTCTCATTAAATATGAAAAAGAGTGAATTTATGATAATAGGATCAAGACGTCGCTTAGCTTCAATTGAAAATAGCCCAGTACTAACATTAGGGGGAAACAACATTAAGCGAGTTTACCAAAAAAGTCACTAGGCATGATCCTTGACGACCAGTTAAAATGGAATAAACATAATGAAATGCAATGTAAAACAATTTCAAATAATATCGCCCTGCTGAAAAGAGCAAAATTGTTTGTCAATAGAGATAGTCTGATAAAAATCTACAATGCCTTAGTGTGGCCTCATTTCAATTATTGTTCAACAATCTGGAATGATGGATGTTGTTCGATAATTGATAAATTGTTTATACTGCAGAAGAGAGCAGCGCGTGTGATAACAGGGGACACATACGAGGGTCGTTCCATGCAAACGCTAGATAGTCTTAATTGGCTTCCAATAGAAGAACTTCTAAAACAACGACAGTTAATAATGACATTTAAAGTACTAACTGGTCGATTACCTCGATACCTTGAAAAATTGTTTTCAGTAAGTCAAAATGACAATTACAATCTAAGAAGCAATCAAATTAAATTGAACCTACCCAACCCTAAGACAAATTTTCTCAAACGAAGTTTCTCGTATAGAGCTGCTAAGTCCTGGAACGAACTTCCAAGTGAAACTATTGAAAATTATAACAATCTTTCAATTTTGTCGTTTAAACGGCAATTACTTAATTCATCCGTATCAATTCATTGTAAATAGTTATATTCTTTTTGTCCTTTTTATATTATTGTTGTAAACACACGGCCCTTTGAAAACCAGCGCTGTAAATATTATCTGCTGAACAGGCTACCGTGTTTAAATAATTTTATTAAAGATTAAAGATTAAAGATT